TAGAGACTTCTGTTCAGCACAACGCATGCAACTTCTTCCTTGGCCTGCTTATTCGCCGGATATGTCGCCTATTGAGCACGTGTGGGATATGGTTGGTCGGCGTCTCACTCGTGATCCGCGTCCTGCAGTTTCCAAAGACGAACTTTGGTTGCGCATACAAGCGATATGGAATTCTCTTCCTCAAGCAGATATTCAACATCTGTTTGACTCCATGCCACGTCGTATAGCAGCACTTATTGCAGCGCGTGGTGGCTGCACCAAATACTGATTTCGGACGCTTAATTTGTTTCTTTTGTTTTGAAAATTTCATCATTTATTTGTATCAGTACAAGTCGTTTCTGCATTAAATTTCATTTGATTCTGATGATTCTTTCATGGTGTTGCATTTTCTACAAACAGCAGTTTAATAAAACCTGGACTTATTTCGTAAATGTTTTCAGTTAAAACTTTTATAATGGAAACGTCTTTGTCAAAAGAACAGATATAAGTATAAAAGGTTCCTAACTCCACCCAAAAAAGTTGGTCTTATAAGTGAAATTTTCGTGCACTTTATAACTATCGCAAAATAGGTAAATTAAGCAATCGTAAATAAAACATTTTGAAACAAGATGCCAAATTGAAGAAAAAAATAAATTAGGAAAAAATGATTTTATTTCAGAGAATTCAATCATTGATAGATCAATAATCAATCAATATAACTCAATAATCAATCAATATAACTCAATAACTCAATCAATATAGTACCTTAAACTATGATAAAAACAGCAATTTAGTAATCGCAGTAAATTTAATACTACTTTTTATAATTGTGTGCGAAGATTTTACAATTCGCTTAAAAAGTTCTCGTGTTGTAGTGAAATATGCAAAAAATAAAATAATTATTAGGGGGTTCAAATTTTGGATCGTTCTCCTGACCAAACTATTGGTACCCTACTTCCCAGATTGCGGCTACCCCATATATTTGGGGGGTCAGACATCCCAATCTGTCTAAAAAAAGTGTGTTTATTCAGAGAAAGTACGTTTTTGCGTTTGATTTTATTACTTAAAGTATCGTCTGCGCTTATTAATTAGCATATTTGAGATTATCCCCTGGAGCCATTAATATTGAGTCATAGAACGTGAAAATCCGATCATCACGTCAAAAGTTATTGAGGATTATATTTTTTTTTTGGCGGACTGCGTGATGACGTCTAATTACTGCTAATCTACTTTAGAGGATGCTAAATCATTTTACTGGATGAATTAGTCGATAATAATATAAATTTGTGCATTGTGTAAAATCCGACAGAACTGAAAAATGAAGACAGAACTTAGTTTTCAGGGAAATATCCCATTTAAATTTAATACATGTATTCGAGCAGTTCTGAATACAAATACATTTTTTTATTATGCAAAACAGCATTTTTATTTTTAGGCCATTTTTTTCAGCCTTTTATAGTTCTTGGTATTGATTATGAATCGATATCTATCTATTCTTTGAGAGTACTTTTATTTCAATTTTCATGTATGCCTCCTATTTTTATGCTTTCCGAAAACTACCATGTGTACACGCTATTTTTATATCGATTACCTCACTAACGACTTATGTACTATAAAACATATGCAACCATTTTCTTTTCCGAAATAATAATGCCTAACATACTTACTATAGAACTTATTACTTGTGAATGACGTTATTCTCACGAAAGAGGAATTATTTTTAACAAGCTGTTCATAAAATAATGAATTTACACTGTTATTTTATTTTTTTAATGCATTGCATCAACTTTTATTTTATTTTGCTGTCCTCTTTGTATCACCGTTTTAGTAAGTTTTTCCTCGTATTTTTTTTTAAAATCGATTACGGTAATGGAGTTTGTCGTAGAATAATTTTAGTGACTGATATGCTTTCACAACAAAGTATTAATAATTTATCTAGTAAATGTATTTTTTGTGGTAATAAACTTGTTACTTAATGTTGTTGGTATAGTTTAATTCAAGTTTTATGAGGCAAAGAGAAATGGCAACATGAAAAGCCGAAACCTGTAACTTTAATGGGATCATTGAAGTTTTAATAGAATGTCTACTTCTTATAGGAAAGATAAATATCTGCTTACAAATTTCCTGAAATCTCGTGACTTAACTAGCTAATATCTTTTTAGTGTGATTATTCGAGTTTTGAGTACAATGTCTATTTGAATCTAAATAAAAAGAATTTGCTTTGAAATTTCACGGAGAAAAGAAAGTATGTGACGTAAACTCCTTTATATACATATTTAAATATTTGTATCTTCAGTAAATGTTCATTTCAAGATAGAAACGAATTTTAAAATTGATGTAATAAATAATACTTTAACCTTTTTATTTTCAATTAAAATATTACAAAGAGAATGTTTTTGGACCTCTAGACCGTATTAAATTTTCAACCAATTTGTTTACATATGCTTCGGTATTTTCCAAATATGTGATCTACCTATGTAATAGACATTTATTTTCTTAAAAAATTGAGTTTTTTTTTAGTTTTGCTTTTGTAGTGCTATTGCTCGATATACCCTACACACTGCTGTCTTTTTTCCTTTTTTCTTTTTTTAAAAGAAAAATTTAAGTGCCCTGCCCGATATAATCTAAACTGATTTTTTTAAGGTTATGTAAAACTGCCAGGTATAACCTATATTTTCCTTTTTTAAAGGTAATTGACTCTGCCTGGCATACTTTACCACACTATACTATAATAGCGCCATCCATTAATCTATAAAGTAACTACACAGATCATATAATAGGACAACACCCATATTTCTCTAAAAAGACGTAAAAGTATGAAGGCTATAGAGTAAAAAAGTGAAAATTATTTTAATGACTTACTTTTTGAATATTTATTTTTAGAAATGGAATAGATAGTAGAAAGTTTACGAGGTAATAGAGAGATTTTGCATTCCCCTTATTCTACCTCTAACTCTATTTGATCTTCTCAGCGCATTAGCGAATATTTCCATACACTATTTTCTATATAGCATTCAAAGTATGATGATGCATTTTTGTGTGTGTCGCAGGATGATGAGAATGTTTTGCGGTCTCTAGCTCTGTTGAGGGTGGGCCAACTATTTATGGATGGAAACTTCCCGCCATTGGAATCCTCTCTCTATTACAGCCATCGATTGGTGGAAGGAAAAGTCACTTGGATGAGACCCCATGTAAGAGAATTTTCTTTTTATTACCAATATTTTCATAATACGAGGGCTGTTTTTTAAGTAAAGGCCGTTTTAAAATAAAAACCGAACGAAACAAAATTTTCATGAAGCAAATTTATTTTTTGATTCTACATACGTTTTTCTTTTTTTTTTTTTCAAAATAGTTTCCAGGTGTGCTTAAGCACTTATCATACCTTACAACTAGATTTAGTATACGTTCTTCATAGTAACTTGCCGCCTGCTCCCAAGAGGTCACGACCGTTTTCACGTCTTCGTCATCGTTGTACTGCAAAATGATGTTTGAAACATCGGAAAAGATGAAAATCACTTAGCTCAAGGTCCGGGCTATATTAGAGATGGTCCAAAACTTCCCAGCCAAAAAAGTCCAATAAAGTTCGGGACTGAGTTGTGGAGAGAGTCATTGTCATTGAGTGGGAAAATTCTCAGTCAGCATGTTAGTAGGAAGCTTCATAAGCTTCACAAATCTACCGGTGAATGCATGAGACAGAGAGGTTTTTGCCAACTAAAAATGCATCACTGACCATACCTCATACGCGGTGGGCGATTTGTTAAACTTGAACATTTTAAAAACACAGAACTGACCATAAAAGTTGCCTACACAGCTGTAATTGAGAACAATGGATATAGCGTTCGCCTTCCAATTAGGTGAACCCGAATCGAATCCCATCGATCGCTGGTCGATTCGAAGTCAGCATCCGTTTTGCACCGACCACAGTACTGACATAAAACATTCTTAGTGATAGACGGATCATAGACGGAGAGTCCCCTTGCTGTCGGGCTAACCATGAGAGATTTTTCTGGCTTTCCTTTCTATGTAACGCAAATGTGGTTAAGTTTCATCAAAAAGTCCTCCAATAAGGAAAATTTCTCTCAATAAAGAGTTCCCTTGTCATCTGGATTGGGTTCAAAATTACAAGGCTGCGGAGTTGAACATTAGTAGTCGTAAACCCCAAAAAAGTGGGTGGGCTGTTTTAAAAACAGTTATAAAAGAAATGCCAGGACACGACACAAGCACTCTTTGCTACGTACGCGTCACCTACTAGTGTACACAATAAAACTGCCCTTACTTCAAAAACAGCCCCCGTAATATCTGATATAATACTGATGTTTCTTTGTGTCAGTTGGATCTGTAGTATTTCCATTTTTTAAATTTTTTTTCAGGAAATGCTTCCAGAGCCCAAACTACTAATCGATACAATCAGTCGTCATGATATCGTGCAGGGTGTGCTCGCTGATTGCTGGTTTCTGTCTTCATGCGCAGCTGTTGCCCAAAGGCCGGACCTCATGAGACGGGTTAGTTCATTCCTCCTATCTCATTACGCCACCTGTTATATTTTATTAATGTCTATTTGTAACATTTACATTCTTTTAATTTTGATCAGATACTTCTTTTTAAGCACATTCAACGCGAATCTAAATCATGATGTGTGGGCCAGTATCATAGACTAAGAATATAGATCGGTAAAGACTTAAAGTTACCTGTGGATTCGAGCATGTTTTACGTGAGTCAATGCAAACCACGTGATTTTCACAACGTTTAATTCATTGGAAAGGCTACATCTAGTCTTGGGGCTACTTATTAATTTATAATGTTGAGATGATTTCAAAGAGGATATCAAGTTTTTAATTTAATCTACATTACTTATCATAAACTGTAAATTTTACTCTTCATATTTTCTAGAATATGAATCTACTATATAGTCCAAGAATATACTTTTTACCTTGATTATTAAACTGTACAACTCACAAGAAACATCAAAAGCAGTTTCTATTCAAATTTACATTGTTTAATCAAAAACAAATTAATGCTAACAATAAAGAGTTTTTTTTTTAATACGAAATTCGAAGCTATTTAATGCTTTGTTTACTATGAACGTTATGATACATGGTTAATTTCTAATTTGAAGTGTTAATGTGCCATCCAACAGATGTGTTATGCAAAATAAACGAGTAAATATTTTTCAATGTGCTATTCGTGCCAGATAAAGTAAATTCCTGGATACGAAGCTTAAATAGCGAAGTAGCGACTCGTTGCCACTTGGTCACTTTTTATTTAGCTAGGTAATCCAGGATTTTAAGACACAACGATGCCAAAATTATCCTCTTTTGTATTCTCTTGAATCTTACATTCTCTGGCAAACACCTAATTTAAATAAAATATCAGGGCGTAATTAGTCTAATGTACACGCAGGAGTCTTTTAATATTGTTGCTTTCTTCCCCAAATTTTCTTAGCTTTGACGTCTAATATAATATTTCCTTTTATCTATCTAAATAGCTCATTTAAACCTATGCCAAACATAGGCAGAATTTATTTTATCTATGCAATTTAAATTCACTAAGAGAAAATTTGTTTTTTGAACGGGAAACAGGAACAGTTTCCCGTACTTACTGGAAACGTTTAGTAAGAAGTAGTTCAGGGGCTGGAATAGCCTGGTTGGTAGGGCGTTGGGTTCATGTTCAAGAGGTCGTGAGTTCGATTCCTGCCAGCTGAAGACACCCCGTGCAGTAAATGGTGACTGGTGCACGTTAAATCTATCGGGTCACAAAGTCCTCCACATTCCTATAACAAATCATACCTCTGGGGGTGCTGAATTAGAGATTGATTGCTCTCTGGTTCAGGTCAAAATTACGATCTGTGGATGAATGAATGGATATATGAATGGGTGCACCCACTGGCAATGACGTGTGTGTGGCTGAACTTGTATTCTTGGCCATAGATGGCGCCACTGAAAAACAAAAAGCACACTCTCTACCATAAATTAGTTTGGTTTCACCTAGCAGGCTTGCTAGTAATGGCAAGTATATATAAATGGNTAATATTATTTTAACCTTCTATATATATATATTATACAATTGGAAAAGATGATGTGCACTGTATTTTTAAGTTGACGTCTCTCTATCTTTCTTTTTAGGTAATCGCACCATACCAGCCATTATACGGTATGGGTTACCGAGGTATAGTGAGATTCCGTTTATGGCGTTTCGGTAAATGGGTGAATGTGTACGTAGATGATCTTCTGCCGACAAGGGATGGAGAGCTGCTCTTCTCTCGATGCTCGGACAGGAGAGAATTTTGGGTGGCCCTGCTCGAAAAAGCCTATGCGAAGTATGTATGATGTTTTATCTTGTTATTTAAGGTGGTGATAATTGACATCGATTTCGTTTTCATCATTTAAGGATAAATTGAAAATTTTTATTATGGAAACTGAAAACTTTATCTGACTCTAGCCTTATTTAGCCTATTTTTTATCGATTATCTTTTTCTCTCTAATGACTTATTTACCATAAAACATACGCAACCATTTTCTTTTCCCAATTAATAACGCCTAACATACTTGCTATAAAACGCACTAAAGAGGATTTATTTTTAACTAGCTGATCATAAAATAATGAATTTTGACTGTCCTTTTCTACAATAGAAAACAGACCATTGTAATAGTACATTGAAGGTAGTTTAAATTACAAATTACCATAACATATTGTAGTTAGTTTAACTCATTAATTATCACATCAACTTGTAAGTAGCTTAAATTATCAATTTAGAGATCTTGCCATCCAAAATTTAAAATTTGACAAAGTTTTCTTTGTTTAGAAAGAATTGATAAAAGTTCCGGGACAATTATCATTCCAGATTGCACGGATCGTACGAAGCTTTAGAAGGGGGTCAAGCAATGGATGCTTTAGTAGACTTGACCAGTGGCCTTTCAGAGAGATACGATTTAGAATCTGCTCCACTGAACTTGTATCAGTTCCTGCTGCAAGCTTCCTCTGGAGGTGCCTTCATAACATGCTCCAGAAAGGTAATGCCAAAATTTTTTATCCCTAAAATTGCATAAGCATTTTTATATCATATATGTGAAGGGCAGATGTTTGGCAAACTCGGTGAGAGTCAGTATTCACATAGTAACTAAATAAGCATCACCGGAAAAAGTCGACATTCAGCATGCACTAACTATTATATTTTAGACCAGTTATCTATTACCAATCGCCGATCTCGAGCTACAAGTAACCCGTGGTTAACAAGTAGTTTGGTTGGCTAATCTTAATTCCATTGAGCTTATAAACCAAACTTAAGATTTTTTTAAAAAAAATAGGTAGTTCTTTTGGTAGATAGTTCACACTAGGTTTCGTAGTAGTACTTTATTTATGTCACACTAGAGCTGCCTAATGACACTACTGGCTACAGTCTGGGAAACAACCCTGAGGATGATCCAAAGACATACAATCACAATTTCGATCCTTTGCAGAGAGGAAAACGTCCTCACTTCAGTTGCTCGACAACAAGTGCGTGAAGTCGAGCACTTTACGGTAGAACAGTTTAACGAGAACCGATGCCGTACATACTCGATTCCTTCGTAGTTTGATCAAAGCGGTCACCCATTCTCTCACTGATCGCTATCAGTGATGCTTGACGTCGGTGATCTACTGAGAATCATGTCTTACGATCAGTTCACTGTGAGATCACAGTAGGATTTAAAAATGGACAAAAGGTACAGAAACTCAAAAGCTTCATAAGGGAGGCGATCAGTTTTTAGAATGATAATTTAAGAAGATATACACGGGGAGTGTTGAAGCTAAGCAATAAAGACATGGTTTAGTTCAAAATCCTTTGGAATCGAACTTTCTTTTCGACTTAGCTTATAACTTTTTTTTTAATTAGAAAAATTTTAAAAATATATTTGTTGTCCTCAAATTGTATTATAAATATAAAAATATAGATTTTTTGGCGAAATTGAATAATTTTATAGAAAAATGTTTGACTGTCAGCTGAGAAAGATTTATATCGACAAAACTACAAATTAGCACAACAAAACTTATGACACCCAGATTAGTAATCTTTTAACCTCTTTCTAATCTCTGCAGTTACCTTTATTACCTTATGGCCTTCGTTCTAAGAAAAAGTAATTCAGGTAGTTTCCCAAATAGTATGTCACGTAATTATGGTGATCCACTCCCGTAATGAATTGTCCACGACCTTCCAAATATCGGGCAGATGGCCATTCACTGTGCTGCCATTCTTTAATAATAAATATCTGACTAAACGATAAGCCGCTCTGTTCTACTTACCAAGCCCCCGGTTCATGTTTTATTACTGAATGCAGATGAGGACTGTTTAGCGCCACGCCTTCGGGAGATTTCGAGGAAAGAACAAAAAGATCGGTTGCAGTTACAAGGAAAGCGTGATGAATGCGCATGTAAAATGAAAATGGACATCGTTTGAAGAAATGAAATTTTTTTTCGAAATGTTATGTAACGTTTAAAAGACTTTGTGATGAAAATGTAATTCCTAGTTCTTGGAATGGGAAATATTTTCGAATAATTTCTTGTTGGTTATTATAATTAATAACCAACAAGAAATTATTCTAAAATATTTTAAAATTATGAAGTTTTTTTGGTAATGAACACGTTTGAATTGATATACATTAAAGACTTGCTGTTCGAACTTTCTTGAATGTTTCTCATTCTTCAATGGCTTTCTGGTAATTTTATAACTTTATGTATACAGGGAATCGTATAAAAACGATCTTTTATGATAAATTAATGAAATTATTCTCAAAAATGAAGTCATAAAAATATAGATACTAAGGGTTAAAATTTGAAAAACAATTATGGGAGAAAGAAACGAACAAAATCTTGTCACGATGCTTCATTACAATACTAAAGTATAGGTGGAAGGAAAAAGAGCAAAAGTATATTTCTCCCAATTAAATCTAAATGTACAAGAAAGCAAATTTTTGCTTTAATTAGATAATTAAACTTCTTTTCTTGATCATTTTAATTTCCGCTTCACTGGAGTTGACCTTGTTAATATTATTTTAACCTTCTTTTTTTGCAAACAATTTTTAATCTTTAATGTGTAGGCCCTCATGTAATATTTTTTTATATCTAAAAATATTTTAAGAACTCTGATTAAATAGTATGCACAGATAAAATATTCAGCTGAACTGATTTTGAGTAAAAATACATTTAGAGCTCTCCCAAATTAAAAGTGTGCAATCACACGTGATTGCCTCAAAAAACAGCAGCGTCACAAATAAAGATTAGAAAAAAAATACAAGGAAGGCGTTACAGATTACGAATAACAGGAACAACCTGCTGCACTTTTTGATTTTTATTGGTTGAAAGTGATTGTTTCATTCCCTTAAAGTGCTGAGCTGATGTTTAAAATCAGACTCAACTCATTTCATCATCAGTAACCATGGAATTAGGTAGGCAGAAAAAAAAAGCACAGAAGAAAAAAATTAAGAAAAGCACAGAATAAAACACATATTATTGATATTGTGTATTTATAACAACCGATTTAAGATGTTGAACCCGAAATTAATGCAATTAAATAATTATTCGAACGTAATTAGGTACTACATAAAAATAATTGACCCTGTTAACTAATATTTAATTTATAAAAATACTATCATGCATTATTTTTTATTTTATATTATAACCGTCGTTGAACAGCCGACCCAATTTTTGAATTTACGACTACTAATGTTTAACTCCGTAGCCTTTTAATTTTGAACCCAAACCAGAACACAAGGAAACTCCTGGATCAAGTATTGGGAGAAATTTGCCTTCGTGGAGGACTTTTTGTTATGGAACTAACCCGCATTTTCATTACACGGAGAGGAATACCACGAGAACCTCCCACGGTTAGCCTCTAACCCATGATTCGTGATCCACTGAGCATTTTTCACGTCAGCACTGTGATCGGTGCAAGCCGGATGCGGAATTAGTATCGACCAGCCATCGCCGGGATCGAACCCGTTTCGCCTCATTGGAAGACGAACGCTTTATCCCCTGAGCCATCGCGGCTCTATCATGCATTATATAATTATATACAATCAAAGTATGAAATTGATTTAAGCAAATTTTGAGAAAAAACTTTAAAACAATAAGTCAAAAAGGAAAAGTCCTAAAATTAGCTAAAACCAAATTTGTTTTATCTAAACAATTTAAATAAAAAGTTAGAAACCGAAAACAAGCAAAAACGAAATTCTAAAGATATGTATGTTAGCATTAATAGCACTTCATCAAGGGACACACTGTCTTCTAACACACTGGAGCCTTTCTGTAGTCAGTGGTTAAACCGGAAACTGACTGCGTCACGAGGGTCCATAATGGATAAACTAAATAAGAAAATCAAATCAAAAATTCAGATTCAAATATTCAATTTTGAATTTTTAAATTGCATTTTCTAATTTAGTTTATCCATTATGGGGCCTCAGGGAACAGTCAGTTTTCGGTTTACGTTTAACCACTGACTACGGAAAGGCTCCAGTCTGTTAGCAGACAATGTGTCCCCTGATGAAGTGCTGTTTTTACTAACATACATATCTTCAAAATTTCGTTTTTACTTGTTTTTGGTTTCTAACTTTTTATTTAAATTATATAATTATCTTAACAATTAAAATGATATAAAGAATTAAAAATATATAAAGTATCAAAAGTTTTTTTCAGTCAACTTCATACTAAACATTGCAATCTCGATTAATTCTTTCAAAAAAATATCTAATTATGAAAGAATAACGATTTAACTGCATCTATTTTGGGTTTGACACAATTATATAATAGTAAACGAGGTGTTTTTTACCTGTGCTTTTTACGAGCTTTTTCTTTCCGGTGCCCTTTTTCTCATGGTTCATGGAGATATTGGAGATTACAGTGTTTGCTTAGTCTGCTCGTGGAAGATTTGATATTTATGTCCACTCTTTAAGGAAATTTATGCACCATTTGTTCTCTGCCAATCGTTCAAGATAGTTATAAACAACTACTATTCGGTGATAAATGCCTGTAATAAGCTCACCCCCCTTTAAACCAATAGGTTCTAAATGCGCTTTGCTACATTCTGAATGGATCCATTACATGTACGACTTAACATACACTCTAAATGCTGTTCAAATACAAATTGGTTAGGAAGACACTAAACCACGAGATAGACTTTAAATTTTAAATTGCAAATGGAGGTGAAACAGAATTTGCCTCGAAAAGTTTCTCTCGCAGTTAAAAGTCCTCTTAAAAGGTTATAGGATGCATTTGTGCCACCTTCTTCTCTGATCCTGGAAAGTGTCACTGTTATCGTTACTGTTTTTCTGATTATTACCACACGTGTCCGCTGTTTACATGAGCAACAATTATGTATGCATTTTTTAGTAATTTTTTATTTGTAACGAATACTTATGATTTTTAGCAAATTTCAATGTCTCAAAGTTTGTTGGTTTCTTCATGTTCAAACTCAGCATTTGTATTATTATTTTAAATAATGTTTAAAAATGTTTTCAATATAATTAGCCAGTGGTATTTTTTTAAAAATTCTATTGGTATTTTTTTGTGCTTTAGAACATTATTTATTAAAGAAATAAACATGATTTTTTATTCGATAATTTTTATATCTTTTAAATTTATACTTTATTATAATTTTATATTATAACTATTATTTTTATGTATTTTTAAATCATAACATAATTTTTATATTATTATCATAAATTGGAGTTGATACTCTGTTCATAAGACAACTTTTCGAATTTCAATGATATAAGTTACTTAGTTATTTATAAAATACAGAACAAAAACTATACAAAAATGTTTAGGTTTGGTATTAAAACTAGATAACTCAAAAATATCTGTTTTGAAAAAAATCATAATGTTTCGAGTTATTTAAAAGTTGTCTAACTCTGCTGTCTAATTATCTAGTTCAAACTCTAACCGCTGAATTCCACATTCGATTAACTTTAATGTTATCTAGTTATGGTAATTTGAGTTATAACTAGATAGTATATAAAAAATATAATATATGTATATATATTATATTTTTTATATGAAAAAATATCTGTATTCCTATCTTGAAATCTAAAAATAATGTGCTATCTATACTTATACTAAACTCATGTAATGTTTCCATTTTGAAAAATGATACCTTGTTTATAAACACAATCCAACTTTTGCAAATATTCTTTTTAATAAATACATTTGATTGCATAATTATAACCAAATACAGTGAGTAATAGTTTCTAACGGAAATAATTTAAAAATTTTTTGGATTTGGTCCCATTTAAAAGACAAGAAAAATAAAATAAATATTTATGAAAAATAGATAAAATTAACAAAGTATGACCATCACATAATGCATTACACACTTATGTGTTCGTCGTAATTTAAATACATTAATGATATTAGCAGATTTAACGACGACCTAAACCAAAAATGTAACATAAATGTTATACACTTTTAATCCTTCTTAAATTATTAAACGCATGCTTCATTTTAAATGTAACCCGAAATGTTCAACATTTTTCATTTACGAACAGTGACAGAATAAGAGCTCTCTACATTATTAATATAATATTCATCCCAACTATTCTGCTCAGGTTCAAAAAATTATTCTAGTTTTTTAAGGTAATTCGTCAGAAACTAATTATGCAATTATGTATCTTTTACCTATGCTGTCACATATTCAGGGAGATTGGCAAATGGCCAATACCGCCGATTCCAATGGTTTGGTTTCTGGACACGCCTACACTGTTACTGCTGTAGCCAAGGTAAGACATTTTTTAATTCATCTTACACTGTAATTTATTCAATAAGCTGTAATATAATTGGTGCAGAAATAACAGTTTTTAAGTATAATAATCTTTGTGTTATTTGAAATTTGCGGCATTGAAGAATGGGAGCTACTCTCGAAGAAGTGATTAATTCTCACTTCTAAGTCTGTATCTTGTTAGTTAAAGATTTGTAAGAGATGTTCCTACAATCGTTTTTTTTTACGAATTATATTAGAGATTAATGATGTCATTAAAAGTAAGATCTGTTGGGTGAAAGTTAATTGCTGCTTTGTTAGCGAACACTTAATGATTTACGAATTAATAAACTTCCTTTCAAGAATTCTATAGCATTAACAAGGAAAACTATTCATTCATTTAAATTGAAGATAAGTTTTTTTGTTGAAAGATCACAATATCACAAGCTTATTTAAATCAAAAAACGAGTTTGAGCGTGAGTTTTTTTGCACGTTTTTGTTTATTATTTATGTTTGGTTCCTCATGTTATTACTTAACATGAGGAACCAAATCAATGTGAATAGAGCACAGGTAGAATCAATGTGAATAGTTTTCGTGGTTTGTGGAGGTCGCATCCCTAAATGTTGTCCCACATCCCTAACCCTAAATGTAAAATATCTGCTAGTTATGTAGTGTTTGTATATCGATTCTGATTGGTTGATGAAAAGTGGCATTTGTTTACGTTATCAACTGTTCTTTCCATTCTATTTCGAGTAAGCAAAACCCGTCAAGTATCAGTTCTCTTAAGTGACTCATGCGAAATTCTTTCTAAAAGATATCAATTCTTTCACTATATATTTACACAGAAACTCAACACAGGGACAAGAGCGAAGCCATGTGGGACATAAACAAATTAATTATGCATCGAAGTTGCCAGGTACACAAAACCAAAATATATCGCGGTTACAATAAAATACATAAACAAATGATAAATCAAAGTTATGTAAAAGAAGCAGACGAGAAAGAATTATATTTTAACTAATTCGATGGGCGATACGGCCTTGTATTTAATTAACTTCACGTTAATTAACATTCAAATTTATGTAAAGAAACTTAGCTCAACTTTAATACGCTATTTTGCTGATAAAGACTAGTTGGCGTTGACGTCATAGGTCACATGTGAGGGTGTGGGAGGTCTTCTTCTTCTTGCAGTGCAAGTACCCTATTGTGCATTTAAATTGTGCTTATATAAATCGAAATAATTCGAAGTCAATGTGTAGTAAGTACCAACCATGGGGAAAAATTGAGTGATTGTAATAAAATATTAATTAGCAGTCTAATTTATATGATCAACTCATAACTTTACCATCGACAATGTGATATTTAAATTTGTATAGACAATAATGAAGATATGCTTCTTTAAGCATCCTTCCTTATAGTCAAAGTTTTATTTAATTAACTTTTCAAATTGAAATGCCGAATTGAACTCATCTTTTTCTTATTGAAGGCTCTCTGAATTTCGGAATTTTAATTTCAATTATATTTTGAATTAATAATATTAGAGTGAAAAATCTTTCCTCAAACAAAATATCTTTTGAAAGTCTTAGAAATGAAAAAGTGAATTGTTTATTTTATTATCTACAATTTTAATCACTTTTTTTTTATAAAAAAAATTATAAATAAATCATGGAACTAGGGTAATAATGCAGGTTATCTAAAGATGAGGAAATATATGAAAAAAGGTCTTCGATAGTTATTCTACCCAAAATTATTCCTCTGTGAAAAAAAAAAATGTTGCTATATTTTCTGATCTCGAGCTAGTAACAAAAAATATTTAATAATTTAATGCAACAATTTTACTCATTTTAATGCAAAAATAATTAAACTTTTTTTGGGCGTGTTATTTAATAAATCAAAATAATCAATATAGTTTTGAGTTCATACAGTGTTGATAAGCATTTCGAAAAGTTCCGTACTTTCTAACTTATTAATATAAGTATCTTGAAACAAAGTAACATATTCAAATACTTTTTGAAAAATATCTATTAGAAAAACAAAACAACTATCGTTCTAATGAAAGTGAAAACATTTAGATTATCAGTTTTTCATACTTGCGTAACTTTAGTACATCAGAAATAAGACAAATTATTCAAAACAATCAGCCTATTCCTTCGAAAAAGAAAAACAAGGCTAAAATCTCCATTAACTAACATATCCAACATATATCATATTATGTAATGTACCCAAATGTCTGAAATAATAAGCACAAATTCATATTAATATGTTGGTATATATCATTTTCCCAGCCACGCCTACTATATCTGCAAATACAAAAAGCGTTTTGTATCTTTATTAGCCCAAGAAAAGTATGTATACAAATAAAAGAAAAAATGCCGTATAAACTGGCTTCTTTTATCTATAAAACTATACTGTAACTAATAATAATCTTAAATACTAAAACTTTGTATTTTCTTGTTCCATACTGCCCAAACTTGGTCACCATTATTGTAATGATTTCTATATACAACACATGAAGTTGTCATTGATTCATTACACGATAGTTAAAAGATCTAAATTGTGCTGTCATTTACCAGAAGATCCTCTTCAATTTGTAACTTTTTTAAAATAATAAGGAGTTAGAGGCCATAAGATGTACTATTTTGAAGTTTAGCTTATTTAGAAAAGTATTAAAAACCACACTAGAAAATTTCGTAGCAATTTTCTATTTTCATAAAATTTATATACATCTTTTATATACCTTTAGTTATATATTCTATGTAGATTTCTATACACCCAGTAATGCAGGTGTAGACGAATTAGAAGATCGTCAAATGGGGTAAGGAACATTTATTTACTAGAAGATCTTCCTCAATATTTTAAATTTAAAAAAAAAAGGAAAAGGAATGGAACCATAAGAAGTGCTATTCTGAATATAAGCTTGTAAGGGAAAACACTTAAAATCAGGATAGAAAATTCCATAAAAGCAGACAAGAATAGCAAATTTTCTAAATTTCAATGCGTGTCACGCATTTAAAATTATTTATTTTCAAAATTCGTTCAAAAGTAAGAAACAAAATGCACAATATTTATGCCGCTAGATCTCGTGAGCACTATTTTCAAAGAAGGAAGCGTGCATAAAGGATAACGTGTTTGGAAATAATAACCAGAACAACCAAAGTGTAACATTGCATGCAACTTACTCAAGAAACAGTTGTGATTTATAAGCCCTTCTATAGAGAACACATAAAAGAGTTTTTTATAATACTGAAGGACAAAAAAAGCTAAGCTTAAATTTTAAACTTTATATGCTTTTCCGATGAAGAAAATGCTTTAAATAGGACTGATAAGGGCACAAGGAAGCACTCGTTTTATGTAGGTTGTAGAGTACTTATTTTGTAGAATATATTTACATAAAATATATTTTGCAGTTCGAATCCCATCGTTGACATAACAATATTTTCTCCATTTCCTGCAACACATGAAGAGTTTCCAGTGGTCTGCACTTCCCAATTTGTGACCATTGAATTGGATACTCTCATTCCCGCATAGATGGCAGCACCGCAAATCTGCTTAACATAAAAAAGAGTAGTACTTACCATCTCTTACGATAGTTGAACAACCAGATAAACCAATTAAACCACATTTCATGGTCCATTTCATAAAATAACCTAACTCCAATTACGTAATAACCTAATGCCAATTACGTAACGAAAAACCTAGCTTCAATGTCATGCTAAATTTCTCATTTACGGTTTTGAAACCATGCTCGTAGTAAGTGGTAAAAAAGCCGCATAGTTCACTATTCAAGGTTTTTAACCACTCTAGCTTCAAAATCGTAAAGGTAAAAATGTTCTTTACAGTAAACGTTACGATTAATTGGATGGACAGACTGCTGCTGGTAATTCAGTAATTTTGGAATAAAAATTCTGACAGTGCCTGATGCCTCATAATTGAATAATAAAATATGGTACCTTTTTGCAGAACAAAGATCTATTTTCCCAATCCGCCAATCAGCATCGGCAATATTTTTGTTAAAATTTTTTTTATCATTATCTTTTTATTTGCATTCAGAAGTTTTATTCGACGCAGGAACTTTGCCTCTTACGTGTTAAGAACTTTTAAATAACACGCATAGTAAAATTTATGCATAAAGAGAATAAACAATATTGTTTTCTTTTAGGTTCCGATGAAGGAGGGGAACAAAGTAAATCTGGTTCGAATTCGGAACCCGTGGGGAAATGATGTTGAGTGGAATGGATCTTGGAATGATAAGTAAGAAACTTTAAGATAATCACGCAATAGTACAAGATGTTTTTGCAAATAAAAACTATAGAATTTATTTCGTAAATTTTTAAATATGTTATGAATAATTGCATATTTTTTCAAACAAAATAATGAGACTAGTTAATAAAGAACTACATCAATGTAAAATGATAGCAAAATTTATATAAAAAAAATCATCCCATAGATTTAAATAATTTAATTACTTCAAAACATTAAAATTTAAAACTTACCAAAGTGTTAATATTTTAGGTTAGGTTGTTTTATGGACGAGTTATTTGTAGGATTATTTCATAAACATCCATTATTATATCCCGATTTTGCATTTTTATAATACTACTTGGCTCGCTATCATTCGGCGATCGATCCCCGGGACTGCTTATTCAGTTCATTCCTAATTGCTACACGATCTGAGATCACTTTGCTCGATCTTCCCATCTTTATCTTATTTCAAACTCCTGCTTTTATGCTTTAATATCTTTCATACTTAATATTAATTATATTCGAGTCTAGATTTCATATCTCAACTTATCCAAAATTTTAACATATCAAATATTTGTTGAAATAAAGACTTTGCATCCCCAAGTCAAATGTTTTGATGGTTTTCCATTGATAGAGTAACATAACCTTGATGGTAATCATCAATAATTCCATCATGAAACATTATATTTTTGATGGTAACCAACATAGTAACCATCACCCCAATGTGGGAATTTGAACTGAGTTATGATGGTTCAACATAAGAACAGCAACTTGTTTTGATGGTTTGTTCTTGTTGAACCATCCGAAATTTCCATCTTTGTTTCTTAGAAGTCAAATGTTGAAACGATCATGAATCACCATCACCCCAATGCAAGAATTCAGACTGATTTTTGATGGGCCAACATAAAATTTTTTGCTTTGATGGTATATTCCTGCTGAATCAACCATAATTATTATTAAACCATCATGGAAATGCACTGTTGTACCATCATGGACCATCGCGAATTTCCATCATAACATCTTAGAAATCAAATGTTGGAACGATCATTAAAGGCCCGATGTAGGAATTCGGACTGATTTATGATGGTCCAACATACGAAGAACCAAATTGCTTTGATGGTATATTCCTGAGAACCAACAAGAATTCCCATTAAACCATCATGGAAATGTGTAGTTGGAACCATCATGGGCCATCATGGATTGTTGATCCATTAGAATCAAGCTTGTCTTGATGGTTAACCATCATAGTATTAAAGTAGCATTTTCCATCATAGAACGATGAAAGTTTGTTGGCATATCAAAAACCATGAACTCATAATGGAAAATGTTGGATGATGGTGACCGTCAAATGATGTTGGACCTGAAGCCAGTGTAAAGCGTCAAGATGTTTTGATGGTACCATCAAGAATTTTGAATTCGGTCAAAAAATCCGAAAAAATTCTTCAATATAAACGCATTAATTACTCAACTAATTTGCAATTTAAACAAATTGAGAAATCTTTTTCATTTTCAGGTACACGAACGAATACGTAGCTACAAAAAATTGTAAAGCCCCTGTTTATAATTTTCGCTAAACATGATGAAGCAGAAGTTTTTTTTAATTGAATTAACGTCAATGTTTCATGAGAGTACATTCACATTTGAAGGTGGGTCCAAAGTGATAAATCAGCTATTATTCGTAATGGCTAGTTGCGCAATGCGTATTTCTAAATGCACAATTCTTAATGTCCCTCAACTGTTCGGGCATTCTCATAGCGTCCACTGGTGAACCAGCGAAAATTTGAAATAATTCAATTCGAAAAATTAGTTGAATTTAAAAATTACTTCTTTACTAAACAAACGTAAAAAGTAGCTGCCAGGAATCGCTACAAACTACTGTTTTTTTGTATCATACTACTCACTGCACCATTTTTCTTAAAAAGTAGCACACTGCACTATACAAACTACGAAAAAAGTAACGACTACAGTAGTTTTGCTACTTGTAGCGCGCTACTTCCGATCACTGCGTATGACGATAATCTCCACTGAATGTAATATTTGTAAAAGTCTTTTAGCTAAAGCTCATGAAATTAATATTTTCACCTAGTCCAACCTCGATTATTCATGACTGAAATAGTATCACCTTCAAACGAATAATGCATTTGTTCTCGTGTATAATTCCTATAAAAATCTTCTCAAGTAAAATTTATTTTGAATAATTTATTTTTTGAGAAATAAAATCAAAGTTCTTGATTCATGTTAAGCTAACGTATTGAAACATACAATATTCTTATTTAGAGTCGTTGTGTTTATTTGCGATACTTTTGCGAATAACTTAAAATCATTGAAAATGTTAAGTGTTCTTAAATCTTACGGCTGAACTACATTTCTAGTGATTCTCGTTGGAGTGAGGTAGATTTGCAAACGAAGCACGAGTTGGAGTGGAGCCGAAGAGATGACGGGGAATTCTGGATGGAATACAAAGATTTCTGTAGAGAGTTTGAAGAAGTGACCATCTGCACGCTGGGTCCAGATTTTGATGGCGATGGAGTAGCGGAGGAAGCTGGAATGGTAAGTGGTCCAGTTTTATCTTAATTTACAATTAGTATTTTTCGAAACTTTAATTTTCGTATTATGTCGAAAATGGTATCTTGCAAAAAAGTTAATATGACCCTGAACACGTAATATAAGTGAAAGATTTATATGGTTTTCTACAGTTTTACAAGATCATAATTCAGTGGTATGCAAGGCGGGAATAAAGGGGAAAATGGTTCCATCTAATAGACGACAAAGGACTCTAAAACATACATGATTTTCGAATAATTTCTCCCTACATTTATATAAAAAATGGATTATTATAACTATGTATCTTTCATGCGATGTTTTTAAAATTTTTTGCTTACACCCAATGTGTTTCACTTTTTTTTAATGGGCATCGGATAAGGGAACTTACCCTATGCATCCTTACGCCCTACATGCCATTGTTATAATTTTGATTTTAATAAGATTTTAGTACTTTCAGTTTTGTTAGCTGTTTTAAAAGTAGAGCAATGAATAAAACGTTAAAGAAAAGAAAAATAAGCAAATGAATAGATAAGGTCTGAATGATTGAAACAATTTGAAGAAGTACGAAGACAAGGGGGAATACTTGCGAATTAGTCGATTAATAAATATGCGATTATTATGAGAGATGTAGCGTATCTACCACTGCAAAATTACAACTGCATTTCACTAGTATATAAGACATGTTAATTCGACTCTATGTCGGGGGTACCTTTTCATAGATGAAGGTTGACATGGTCTGTAATTACTAGCCCCACATTGGGGACCCGGACGTGATGTGAACACGCCTACCTTGGCAAAAACGCCCACTTTGATCTGGATACGCCTACATCGGCAGTAACGCCTACTTCGTTGGATGGTCCCCATTGAACAGTTGACTTGCTACTTGTGACTGCATCATTATCCACCTCCTCACGCAGTTGCTACTCAGTCTCATCTCGATCACACACAACGTTGGCTTGCATACACTTGACTGCTAACGGCAACACAGGAGCGACTACAACCGTGAAGTTAATACACCTCTCACATTCAGCACTTAAAAAAATACGGTGATCTTAATACAGCTCTCCCGGTTTCGCACAAAAACAGCAATGATTCAACTAGTGGTATCCATTCATCGAATTCTATCACAGATATAATTCTGGTGGGGGAGTACTGTAGCGTATCTACCACTACAAAATTACAACTGCATTTCACTAGTATATAAGACATGTTAACTCGACTCTATGTCGGGGGTACCTTTTCATAGATGAAGGTTGACATGGTCTGTAACTACTCTCCCCACAAGAGATATTCCAGCATAAATAATTGACATCAGAATCAATCAATCTTATAGAGTAAGTGGATATTACGGATACAATGGTAAAAGATAGTTATTATTAGTTAATTATTATTTATTTATATAATATTGTTTATTAATTTTAGGTCAAAGCTATCCGCGGGAGATGGGAAGTTCCAAAAACGAGTGGAGGGTCAAGGAATAATTTAGAATTTTTTGCTCGAAACCCTCAGTATTTGTTGTCCGTCTCTGAACATGGTAAGATCTTTTTTGTTTTTTAAAAAAATGAATAATTTGACATTAACTTCAGGCATGCAGAATAAAACGAATCGTTTTAAAATCTAATTTAGCTTTATTAGCAGAATAAGGTCTACATTAAGATTTACTTGCTGTTCCGAGAATTCTAATTGGGCGGAAAATAGCATGACGTGGTAATTAATAAGCAAAGAGCATCTAATTAACTTTTGCTGTTATTAGAATCAAATTATTAAAAGTTTATGCATAATGCAATAAACAGTGAAACCTCTCGTGAGCGACCACTCTCCGTTCCACAGTAAAATGATCGTTGATGAAGATTGGCCGTTCTTAGAAGTTACTTCCATTGACTTTATTATCGAAGGTGCATGATATTTCGAACGATTTTAATTCTAGTAAGTGTCATTTTCTTGGTACAGAAATGCCACTTCTGTTGGCGTCATGAAAAGATAAAAACATATAATTATGTGTAAAAATAAATTTACCAATTATGAATGATAAAGCCATTTCAAATAAATAAATAATTTTGTTTTTTGTTAAAGTTTGCATTTAATTTATATCATAAGAAGTAGTTAGCTTTAAAAGATGAGAAGATTCTTTTTTGAGATGCTTGTTGTTCCTAAACTAACTTTTCTTTTCTAATTTCACTTCCAACTCTAAGAGTAAATCATTGATAGCATCGTCTTCAGTACACTCTGACTGCGACATGAGGTTATATTCTCAAAAAGAACTCTCTAACTAAGAACCTCGCACATATATCGTGAATACATTTTAATCTACTTATTTGCTTTGTTAAATTTTTTGTTTCGATATTCTTTCGTGTTTCCTTATTTGATCTTTACCGCATTTGGTGCAGATGTTAGCCCGGTCGCTGGGAGAGGTTTTGATGGTCTTTCGTAAAGGTTTTCTTCAGCACCAAGTCCACGGAAAAGTCAGTGTTCTCCAAACGTGGACGTAAATAGAGGTGGTCTTTCCTGTATGTTTCATTCTTTTTGATAAAAATGGTGCTGGCTATAACCCATTGTAGACCTTGGTCTGCTGCACGATGTTGCATCAAATTTTCCTGTTTTCGGGCTTGGATATCCAGTTTGTAATTTTCTTTATGATTAGATCTTTTATTAAATATTATAATAACTTCTTGTTTCCTCTGAGTCTTCAGTTCATTCTCTTTCAATTTGGAATTAATAATCATCACCATGTTTTTCATTCATTCTTTTTCTATGGCCTAATCATGCTAAGCCTCTCGATTTTACGAATCAAATAATCTTTTTTGTTTAAATCAATGATCGAGCTCTTTATTGTTTCTAATTCTCCACCATGAATTGTTTATTATAATAGGATTTAAAGATATCTAGCTTACGTACAGACAATTTTGATACATATGGTTAGAGAAAAGTGTTTTTAGCAGGTTAAAAATATTTTAAAAAATAGCATTAAAAATATATGAATGAGAATTAGAAACTCTCCAAATGTTAGGAAAATACTCCGAATACTGGAAAAACGCATTTATTTGATTTAGATGTTTATGATTGTTGTCGAAAACTTTATTTTTTCGGTTTGAAACAGAAAATTCAAATAAATAAATTACACTAGGATTGTTCTGATTTACATAAAAAAATTTATAATCAGAGCCTACTCATGAGAAAAAAAAATTATATTATGGATGAAATATCTAATTAATTAATTTCAAAATTTAATACCAACAAAAAGGGATTAAGCTTTTAATAAAATGAAAAAAAAAAGTCGCACTATTCGTTAGATGATTTTAGACATAAAATAATGAGTTTTCTAAACTACGAATAAGAATAAAACATAAATAAGAATAAATTACAAATAAGAATGAAATATAAATAAGGATTAAATATAAATGAGAACAAAATATATTCTATAATTATTTTAAGCAAAATAAAATCGTCATGCACACAACCTTAAAAATCGCCTCTATAATTAAAAGATAATTAATATATAATTATATATAATATAATTAAAAGATAATTTCTAACAAAAAATAATTTTTAATAATTATTCATTATTATTGATTATTCATTATTATTAATTATTCATTTTTCATAATTCTTCATTATTCTTAATTATTTAATATTTTTAATTATTTAATTTTCTTAATTATTCAATTTAAAAATTTGCTAGATATTTTTGACTGTTAAGTACTTGCGTAAAACTTTTAAAATCATTTTAAACCATGTATTTTTAAAGGAAAAAAAATAGAAAATGTTTATTAAATCGGTCTAACAGTATCTGAGTAACAAACAATTTTCAAAATGTCATTTCTCCATAACTGATTTTGTCCTCATATATTGAGCATAGAGAATCCGAATCCGTTGGTAAAAGAGGATGTTTATGATTTTAAAATATTGATTTAAAAAGCGTATTTAGAAATAATTAAATTGTATTCTAAACGAATATTTCCTTAAAACTAGTTTGTGAAATTTATTTTATTTTTAATAGTTTTTTATATTATAAATTTTTTGCTGTGTTTGCCTCCAGAATAGGGTATGTTTAGTTAACAAATTTGTACCTGCACACGGTACTGAGCTATAAAGGCACCGGAAGGGAATTTTTTCTCTTGCCTATTTTATTTAATAACCGTCGCTGAAAGCTGACCAGATTTTGAATTTATGGCAATCAATGTTTAACGCTTACGCCTTGTAATGTTTATCCCAAATCCAAAACACAAGGGCACTCCAGGATAAAGTATTGGAAGAAAGTTTGCCACAGTGGAAGACTTTTTGATGAAACTTACATGGAGTGGAAAACTACGAAAACCTCCCACGGTTAGTCTGACTGCAAGGGGACTCTAACCCATGATCTAACTAAGGGAACTCCAACCCATACCACTGAGTATATATTAACGTCAGCACTGCGGCCGGTACGATTTGGGTGCGGAATTCGTATCGACCAGCTATTGCTGGGATTCGAACCCGGTTCACCTCATTGGGAGGCGAAAGCTCTATCACCTGAGCCACCACGGCTCGAAAATAAACCGCCCAACGTGGGACTCGAACCCACGATCCCGAGATTAAGAGTCTCGCGCTCTATCAATTGAGCTAGCCGGTGGTCTCTCTTACTTATAATTAAAAGAAAAGCATTTATACTGAGTAATGTTTAAACAGAAGAAATCATACCGTGCAGAAAAGAAAAAAATCTCGCACGTTATAAACGATTTTTCAGGAAAATTGTTGTGTTTTTTTTAAAAATTTTTTTTATTGTTAATTAGAATCACGGAATGTCTGAAACACTTGCGTGCCAGAAACTTTTAACACCGGACTTTTTTTAAAAAAAACTTTTCACTGTAGACTGTTTAAATGTATTGGCTAAAAGGCAAAAAACTGTTATGAGGGGATTGCCTTGACTTTATATTTCTGATAAATGAAGCATTTAAAAAATAACCAAGAAATCCATAGAAATGTTTATGAGAGAAACAATGTTGTTGGGAAAACGATACCAGGCAACATATGACGAAGTAAATCAACCGATAGCTAATCTTTAATTCTATTTTTGTTGATCTACAACTAAATCTATTGACTATAATTTCATAATTAGTTTTAAGAATAATTTACTTAAAATATTGAAGTATTTAGGATAAATTTTTTTCAGTATGTAAATCATTCGGACCCTTTAAAAATTGCAGAAGAGTTTTGTTTAAAAATTATGCGGAATCGACATGACAGCTTATAATTCGATTTACAATGTTATTAAAACTATTCTACCCGTATTTACAACACTGAGTTCATATTTATTAAAATATAGCGATATTAGCATAATAAATTAAAAATTGCACAAAAATTCTGTTCTGTTTTGTAAATAATTGACAATAGCAATTTTATTTGCAATTTATAGGTTTCGGTAACAGAAAATATTTGCACACTTTTTCGCGTTAGTTCATGAAATCTATGAATTTTAGAACTTGATTTAATACAGACTAAAAACATTCTTTACAAATTATTTCTATGCAATACTAAAATAAAAGCAACGTGTGTGTTGTATCTATTCTCACTGAGGCGTGATTCTCACTGCGGCAGTTGTAACTATTTTTTTCAGAAAATTCTCACTGTGGCGTGAAGTGGAAACAGAAAAATTTCGCCTATTTACGTGCAGCTACACAAATTCAATCGAGGTGAGCCGTGGTGGCTCAGGAGATAGAGCGTCCGCCTTCCTATGACGTGAACCGGGTTCGAATCCCGGAGTTTCCAGAATTCATTCCTTCGAATCCCAGAGTTACTTCGAAATAGAAATTGAATAATTTCGAAAAAATCCCAATGCAAAATTATTTTAAACCAATTCTTTTCTACTTAATGCATAATTATTTTTGTCTTACTTTTAAAAATAAGAGTATCATTGTTGCGTTTCGACTTATTGCCAACTATCATGAAATACACATTTAATAGAAGTTATTCTTATGTTTCATGACAGTACTTTTTAAAGTAATATTTTAGAATATATTTTTTCCACTTTTTAGAATATATTTAGTTTAGTTCTGAACATATTATCTCGAAAACTCGCTATCTCGGAATTTTTTAGCATCCTTTCAACTTTTATATATAGAGAGTATACTGTATTTTTTTTTAGCATTGAGACAATTAATTTCTTTTCTTCCATCTCATAGAAAATCGTCACAAAGGCCGTAAAGGTTCCATGTCGAATAATTGTGCTGCCGTCATAGCTCTTATGCAAGTGCGCAAAAAATGCATGAAGCATCCAGGAAGAAAGATGATGCAGATTGGATTTGTGGTGTATAGGGTATTAATTGTTCTTTCCTTACTTTTTTTTTAAAAAAAATATGTTTATTTTAGTAATTGATTTCAAATCAACTCAAATAATACTGCAGAACTCTAATTATTTCTGCACACACAATGTTCTATATTCATTTCAAAACTTTATACAATATCAAAGATGCTACAATATATTCGTAAATAATAAATACAATTTCCCCCCGTGTAGTAAATGGTGACTGGTGCATGTTAAATCTATCGGGTCACAAAATCCTCTATGTTCCCGTTGAAAATTATGCCTCTGGAAGTACGGGATTGGAGATGGATCGTTCTCTGGTTGAGGTCAAAATTACGACCTGGAGATGAATGAATGAATGAATGTATGAAAGGGTCCGCTCTATAAAAGAGTGTGGCGTATGGGTGTGGCAGAAGTCGAATTCTTGGCCATATATGGCGCCTCTGTAAAACAAGAACAATTGCAACCCCATTGTCTTAATGGCTTACGCCAACAACAATTGCAATTTTCAAATATTTTGAGGACTTTCACTTTAGATATGAAAACTATTTAGTTTTCTCTTATACAGTTTACTTTCTTTTCAAATACATGGGTTACTTTATATCAAAGAGATAGGGTATTTTCCATGTTACATACAAATAACATGCCGACCAGTTGTATGGCTGTCAGGGAGCTGACCTCAAATCAAAAATGACCAGGGTTCGAATCCCTGATACGATCATGGATGTTCTTTTCTCTGTACTATCTGTCTTTCTTACTGGGGGAGCAATGTTAGCCCACCTAATATGGTTCCCCTGAAAGAGTATGCAACAAATCTGAAAGAGTAGTCAAAAATCAATATTCGGGTGATCATTGAAAAAATATATAAATAACATTCATTTAGAATATATGGATTATTCCATTTTCAAAGATTCATATTTCATATTTAATATAATTTTTTGAACTAACATTTATAATTAAGTTATCTTCTAATGCGGAATATCACCCCTTTAGAATAATTAATTCAAGAAAAAAACTTAGTTCTTACAAGAATCGTGATATTGGACGTTAAAACCGTGTAAATAGTAAATATGAATCGCGATCTTGGATCTTAAAAACGCGAGAATACAACTTGCAATATTGAATTTTTAAATCGCGCAAATACGAATCACTGTGCATAATTATTAGATCGCGTGAATACAAATAGTTTTTAAATCATGCCTAAATGTGAAAATAGATGTTTGATATTACAAACGATTGAATACGAATTGAAACATTGGATTTTAAAAATGCCTGAATACGAATCGTGATATTTAGTTTTAAAAACGATTAAATATAAATCGCGTTATTGGATTTCTAAATCACGTTAATAGGATTTGCGATGTACGATTTTTAAATCGCGTGAATGCGAAACGTAACGCGCAGCTTTTGAATCAGGTAAATACGAAAATCGTTGTTTGACATTAAACTCGTGTAAATAAGAATTGCAATATTAGCAGATTCCGATGCTGTTTCAAATATTCAAAATGGCGATAATCAGCCAAACCAAAAGAATCGAATTGGCGAAAGAATCACGTAAGACGTAAATCTTCACGTAACTGGCGGAAGAATGTGTGTAAACCTCTCGCTAACGGGATTTGGAAAAAAGCTTCAAATTTCTGTGGGATTATAAGTTTTTGATTTGCGGAAGTCCGCGAAACAATGGTCTTGAGATACGTGAAATTCTGCGATCTTCGCTCAAAAAAGAAGAAGGATACGAAAAACCCGGAATACAATCACCCCTGGTTTAATGTTAACCTATGGTTAAATTTTTTTAAAAACCATATAGTATTACAGTTGAAGTAGCGATCTGACAATTAAACCAGTTTTTCAGACACTGAAGTTCATTCAGTAATTTAGTTCAATATCTAATCGTATATTTATACCTGATGATATTTTATGTCTACATTTAAGCCACTACAAAATGGGACAGGAATAACACAGAATTGTCATTTTTTTTTAAAATAACAGCAGGCACTGAACTTAGAAGATGCCGGAAGTGTTGCTCATTTATCGCTACCCAGTGGGCATCTGTGAACCAAAATCACGGAGGCGAGAAACATTACCCACGCCACACTGCCAGAAATACCCGTTCATAGGGTGGGCCACATTCATACATCCTCCGCACAGGATCAAAATTGCGATGGCATGTCTTCGGATCATCCTCCGGGATGTTTCCCAGACCGTCGCCAATAGCCCATTGTGCAGCTCTAGTGCGACGTAAATTAACAACAACAACAGCGGTATTCGAACCTGATGCAAACATTCTATTTCCTGAATATCGTAGTTAATTTCTTTACTTACAGACTGGTTCACAACATATATGATTTTAACTGAGTGCTGTTTCTTTTAGGTAGAGGATCCGAAGAGACGCCTAACAGTTGAAGATTTTGTGACCAACGAAGAGGAGGGCAACTCAGGTCCTTACATCAACTACCGTGAAGTATTCGCGAGGTTCGAACTCTCGCCCGGACACTATGTCATCATACCGGCTACTTTTGAGCCTCATAGACAAGGTTCATTCATGATTAGAGTCTACACTGACTGTCCTTTCGACCTCAGGTAATAAAACACAGCAAATTCAAGTATCCGTGTTTCTTGCAATGATAACCCATCAACTTTATTTAGTTTATGATATATAGAGTTTTAGTATTCCAAGTCTTCAAATTTTTGATATTTGCAACAATAGGGAGGCCGAGTGTGCGGAAGATATGGTCTCGAGCAGTGGTCGGAAGTAATGTACTACAAGTAGTGAAACTACTGTAGTCGCAACTTTTTTTCGTAGTTTGTAGTGTAGTGTGCAGCTTTTTTTTAAAAAATAAGCAGTGTAGTGAGTAGTGCTATATAAAAAACGGTAGTTTGTAGCAATATCTGTCAACTACTTTTCACGTTAGTTTAGCATATGAGCAGGGTTCTAACACAACTAATTTTTCGAATTTGATGGTTACTATTAAATCTTTGCGGGTCTGTCAATGGACGCAATTTAAAATGCCTCTGTGACCTGAGTTAACAAGAATTGCATATTTCGAGTCACGTATAACTAATATTTAAGCTACCCTTATGAATAATGGATAATTTAAGGCTTAGGTCACACTTTCACATGCAAATGTACTTTCGTGAAACATTGATGTTATTTCGAAAGAAGGAAACATATTTTCAACGTACTTTATTTCTTCAAGGAAATAAAAGAGTATTAAACAATTAACGAAATTGCTAGTATTTGTGATAATTTCCAAGCATTTCTTATATTAAATACTCTCTGTCAAAAAGGGAATAAACTGTTAAAGATTAAATGGACAAATTTTAAAAAAAAGAAATGTTTTAGAATAACAAACTGGCTCTCGTAAATAAAAATAAATATTTCTAAGTAATTCTTCATGTGCAATATAAGTCAATTCTTAATTCGAAACTCTTTTGTGTAATGACAAATAATGTGTAAATTAATTAACATAATGTGTAAATTAATTTTTCCAGCATTGTAAATTATGCAGGTGTAAATTAATTTCTCCAGCAAAGTTCGGTTCTTTAAAGTAGTAAAGTAGTCACTACATTTCGAAAGTAGTTTATAGTCACTACATTTAAAAAAAAGTAGTTGCAGTTAGCTATATTTGTAATAAAGTAGTTGTGGTTAGTTACAAAAATAAATAATAATAAAAAAAAATAATAGTTTTTTCGACCACTGGTCACAGGCTCATTTTTCGAAATTACCAGAGAACAAGGCATAAAAGGATTTCAGAACGTTGACAATCAAGTAAAATAAGCGCTATATTGAAGTAGGACCAATTTCACTTCGTAATAATGCAATAGTAATATATTATTAAATTCCTAAAATGCTAATCCAGTAGTTGTAATTCTTTATTTACGTTGCACTACAGCTGCACAACGAGCTATTGGCGACGGTCTGAGAAACTCCTCCAAGGATATCTGTGGGGGAGCCATCCCCTCCGAAGAAGATCACAATATTGGTATCCCTACGGCCTACATGCAAAATCTTGCACTGTTCTGTAGAACAGTCTTAACTTGTACGTTCGAGTTCATTCGAGGTCGCTAAACAGACCAAACTGTGCACACTCGAGATAATTCGAGCGGCGTTGTATTTTAAGCAGCTATAATTTTTCACACTCGAATATAATCGAGAAATGAAAATAACAATGTGAAACCTGAGAAAAAAAAATCGTTTTATTGATATTTATCATTTACATAGGATTGTAAGCTATAACACTTATTTATTAAAAAATAAAATATTACTGAGATGCCAACTTGCTCCGGACAGCAAATATATATTTTAAAGTGGTAGTTTATCAATTGTGATTCTTGGTTTAATAAATTCAATTTAGCAGATTTTTATCCACCATTATTTCTAAATAATTCGTAGGCTTGTATAATTCACCACTTTATAGTACTTATATCATGCTATACCTTTTCAAAAGCAAGAAAAAAAGTAAAATATTTGCAAAATTTACTTTGTAGTTATTTACCCTTTTTTAAAAATTATTTTGGCTTGTCCGGAGCAGTTGGCAACTCTGAATATAGCCTTTTTCCATGGAACAAAAGCGCAGTATATCAAAATTGTCCACTAAAGAAAAGACAATGTTCTAAAGTGTGTTTTTTTACATTAAAAAATAGATTTTTTTTGCCCGGTTTTTTTCAAAAAATCTGTGCGTTAAGGGGTTAAGCAGGACCGATACCGTACGGTCTATTCGTAATTTGATCAAAGTGGTGACAAACCCGCAAAAGTGCTGATTGAACCCTACATCTTAAACAAAAAAGGCGAGGACAATCAACTTTTGGATAAGGGTTATGATGGCTGTTTCTTTTGAGTAACGATACAAAACCATGAATTTTACTTATGAGTGTATCAGCTGCTTTACGTCATTTCGGAATCTTAGCTTTTATTGAAGTGGTACTTCATTATTGTACTAGTAAAAAATCAATGGATCTCAAATGTGTAGATTGATCTCTGCTCTTACTTGAAAGTAGTAAATGAACTTTTCTTTGAGCAATTATAAGCGATTAGTAACTGCTATATTTAAGTATTATTTTAACATATGCAGCCATGGCATCCTTTTTCGGAAATCCATTTAAAAGTGACAAAATCACAAAACGCTTTCAGTCTAGTTTACGGGTAGGTGATCTCGGGTAAAGGCACCTTTTTACTAATTTATGTAACATACTCCGTTCGTAACGCTGTATTTTTTAAATACACATGTTTGATAAGAATTCGAAAGATATATATAAAAGGTGATGCTTACTAAGTACCCTCTATATTATGCATATTACAAATATCCAATAAGTTGTAAGAAATGTTCTATAAAAAATAATATGAAATAAATATCAAATCTAAAACCAACAGATGAATTGCGAATATGTTTAGCAGGTATTGATCTCGTCATACTCTTCTATTATTCAACATTAAATAAAAGTAGTGCCTCATAATTCTATGAGTTATTTAATGATGGATAATAACAGAGAAACTTAGAAATTACGAATAGGTTAGACGCAGGGCTCGAAAAAACTCAGAAATTTTACCCGTCCCCGAGGACGGCTTGTCCAACAATGTACCCGTCCTCCTTTGAAACTTATCCTTTGCTTCTACATAAATAAAAATATAATTTTCTCTTATTTATTACAAACATTTATATAAATTGCACTTTTTACTATTAGTAGGTACTAGGATTACAAATACTAGGATTACATTATACAGTAATAAAAGAAATACTAAGTTACTAATAATAAAATCTAGTATTTCTTTTATGAAATAATTTAAATGACGAAGATCAAGTTATCTGGAATGTCAATTTATCCGAGGGTACTACGTTTTTTAAATGAATCAAATATGACGTTTGCCAGTTCCACAATCAAGCCAATGATTTACAGAAGTTTCTGCACAGAAATCAGAAAGGGGTTTTCCATTTAGGTAGATTTTCATAATTGCGTTTAACGCTTTTTGCTTAAAACCAGAGCGTAATGTGTTTTTTTGTAAATTCATTGCTGAAAAGCCCATTTCAACTGCTTCAGTACTCCCAAACAGAGAAAACATCAATTCCATCATACGCAGTTTGTTGCTGTATTTCTAGATTAGAGGGTCGTTTTAGAAGTGAGACGCTAGACTTTTGTAAGGTAACAAAAATTGAAAATGCATCATTAACTTAAACGGGAAAATAGCCGTCCGCGCGGACGTCAGATTCGAGAAATTCGTAGTCCGCGGGGAATTTTTGACCGCCGAGGACGGGCGGACGGGCTGTTTTTCGAGCCCTGGTTAGACGGGTACTTAATACATCATATAAACTTCGATTATTCAATATTGAATAAAAGGGAGAGTATCAATATTCCCTCAATATTTAAGCTTTTTAAGACAACAGGACAATAGCAAAAGTCACGAATGTGCTAAGCAGGTATTTAATTTTCTCCTATTTTGCCTTTATACAATATTGAATGAAAATAAATGTATCAATACTATATCGATATTTATTTTATGGAAGACACTTTTTGTCTTCTATGATCAAATATTTGTACTTAAATTCGCAGTTTTCATTTAATTTCGGAAATATTCATGGTACAATAACTTAATAGTACCAGACAAAACTATCACCTGCAAAAATTCGTATTGCATAATCTAAGAAAAGTATCAAACAAATGAGATATTTATCTATATATATATATATATATATATATTTAGTTAATGGCGGGCACTTAAATTTATTTCCCATTGTTCTCAGAAGTGCCAGAATTGCTACTCTCTTATCGTTATCCAGTGGGCACCTATGGCTAAGCCACGGTGGTGGAGTAGCGTCGCCCACGTCATACAACCACAAACCACTCGGCCACCTGGTCGGCACGTTAACCACTCGGCCATTTGGTCGACCAAATAAGATGGATACAATGTATTATAATATTGAAGAATTAAATAATTAAATTTTCACACAAGTTTGACAAGTTCCTTGCGATATTCGTTTTGTCATTTATACCTGTATAACTTTAATCTGTAATAGTCTCATGATAGTAAAAGTGTCCATTATTTAAGTTCTTTTTTATATTAGAAAAAATTTATCTTTTCCTTTTCAGAGAATTAAGGTGATGACAGTTATGAGCAAATGGATCAAAGCAAAACAAAGCGAACTAAAAGTACAAACTACTGAATACTGAGAAATGTACAGAATGATATATTCGTCCCAGTATTTTGTACTACGCTCAATCAACAGACATTTTTTTAATATAACGCAGCAAGACAAAAGCGTACTTCTATCTTCGATGCAAGATATTTCTGTGTATTGATGAGAGGACAAGATAACAATATGATGTCTCGGAAATTTGCGTTACGTTAATTTCAATCTTTTTGTATTTCTTCTGTGAAATTTAAAATGTATTTCTGAAAAAGAGCCCGATAAATTCACAAATCTTGTATATATTATTGTAAAGAAACACTTCTTCGATTATTATGTGATTTATAATCTTCCAAACTCCTCTTAATAAACTATTACAAAATCTAGTTTGTACTAATTCGTTAATGGTGTTTTGTCAAGACTGCTCTTAATATATATTTTTTAAATACTTGAAGAAAAAAAAATTAAAAAAATTATTCGCATTCATTATTAACCACGGAAAAAAATACCATCGAAATGTTAGCAATCACAGTACAAGAATGCGAATGTAATAAACAGGTATGATTGCGAAAGGAAATAGTGAGGAGGAAAAAACAAGGAAATACAGTGCTAAAATGAAATACAGTACTAAATTTTACATTCATTTAATGATTTAGATTAAACTGAATATATTACGTAACATGTGTTATGGTTAATTATTTAGAATAAAATGCAATAAAATTTAAATCGTTTTTAGCTTATTAAACTTCCACGTGGAGCAAGTGATCTCTTAACGTCTCTTCCTTCTGGTGTACTGAATTAAATTGTAAATCTACTTTAATTTTGATTTAGCAACTTTAAAATGTCGCTCAACTAGGTACATATATTAAGTAAACAGCGCTAAAAAGATGCAAACAACCTGAATTAATTTTTATCTGATGAATCAATTTCCACTTATAATAATTCAATATCAGTGGTTCGAGGTGCATAAAATCTGCAAATTAGACACTTAACGCGAAATCAGACACTTAAACGTAGAGGAAAGTGGGGCAGGACAGGGTAGGAATAGAAAGTCCTTTGTAGCTAAACTGTTCCACATAGAAACTGTTAGATATAATCAAGAAATTCATTGTTTAGTTGTGCACTACACTATCTACCAATAAGTATTTGGACACCTATGCAAATGACTATATCTGCCGTCCTGAGATACGTCACGCACTCCGCCGGTATATATCGTGTAGGGAACAACGTTGGCATTAGTCCCATGCAAGATGCCTACTGCACTATTTTGGATGTTGCCTACGTTGTTGCAGTCTTACGAGGTGAACCCCTGTTACTTCCAGGACGACAATGCCAGCTGTCATGTTGCGAGGGTCACCAAGCCTTGGTATGGTGCCAATGGGGTTAATCGAATGGACTTTCCTGCCCAGAGCCCAAACCTGAACCCAATCGAGAACCTCTGGGACGAGTTGGATAGCCGAATTAAAGGGTGTACTACCCGTCAAAAATCGGTGAAGGAACTTACATGTCATCTCCAAGCCGAGTAGAAGAAAATACCACTAGTCGTGTATTTATAAATGATTTTTTTCTTTAGAAAAAGTCAAATCTCCCGGTCTTATCCTTCTAATGGAGTAAGAAAACTTAGAAATACTAGAATTTCAGTGAAAATGTAGCTCACATTTCTATTTTATATACACTATCCTGCCAAAAGTATCCGGACTATGCCACAAATATCCGGATGCTATGGTGGTGGAAGCATGATGGTGTGGGGGCGTTTCTCGTGGTTTGGCCTAGGTTCGTTAGTACCAGTGGTTGGAAACATGAACTCTGAGATGTATGTGTACATTCTGGACAATGCTGCATTCCCTACTCTATGAAAATATTTCGGGGAAATGTGAATGGAGCAGTTATCCTGCTGGAAGAGAAATAGGCCTTCAACGAAATATTTTCATAGAGTTGGGAGTGCAGCGTTGTCCATAATGTACACATACATCTCAGAGTTCATGTTTCCAACTACAGGAACTAACCAACCCACACCATCACGCTTCCACAACTATAACAACTGGATGTCCGGATACTTTTAGCCCGATAGTGTATATGAAATAGAAATGTATGTTACATTTTCCACACATGTGTGCGACCTGCTGGAAGGCCCATTTCTCTTCCATCAGGATAACTGCTCCATTCACACATCGAGACTTGCACCGACGTGATTTGACGAAACGGGTGTTCAAAAACATGACTGGCTTTCTCAAAACTCCGATCTAAATCCCATAGAACACCTTTGGGACGAATTAGAGTGCAGATTGCGTAGTCAGCCAAATCGACTGCAATCACTTACTTCAGCTGAGATGGACGTCAATTCCTATCCCAAGGCTGTCATCGATGCAAAAGGGGGACCAGCCCAGAAAGCACGTAACCTTAGGGCAACCTTGTGTCGGAATTTTCTTTTTATTGTCACGGAAATGTTTGCACAAAAAACCTTTCTCAAAACAAAGCAAAAATATTGCAGTTTCAAGCCTTTCGTCCTAAAAAGATTAAAAATTATTTTTAAAAGCTTTTTTTGAAAAGTATTGTCACTTAGGTCTATAATGACGTTTTAGCTGACATCACACTAGAGATAGAATCAAATTGGATCGTCCATTAAAATTTCATGATAAGGTGGATTTTAGCTGAGCATACAAGACGTTGAGAAAAGAAACCTTATAATTACCTACATTTAAGATTTTTTCCACCTTGAGATTGGCTTTATTAAAGAATTTTTTCACGCTAAGTCAATCTCGGTTTAAGGTTTTTATATAGAAGGTTGTTTTCCAAGGTTTTGGATTAGGGTTATGTGCGAAGAATAGAACAGATTGTCTCAGATCTCGTTTTAAGGTCAGAAGGTTTACACGTAAACCGCGTAACAAACCTTTTTAGGTTTACATTAAAATTTTTTTGCTGACTGAAAATAAACCTTATTTTGCTATATGGAGCGTCCTGAATCACATATTATTATTTACATTAAGTGCCTCATTAAGTGCTTACAATAAGTGCCTCAGGACGCTCTAAGTCCATAACACTGACTGTCCGGATACTTTTGGCCCAGATAGTGTATAATACAATTTAAAAAAAATTATGCATGTAATGTAGATTTGGTTATCTCCTTCTTCTGCTGCAATGCAACTTTCGTGGGTCAAAAATAGATTCACATCAAGGGGGTGGTTGCAAAATCGATTAGTACCCGGTCTGGTCTTAGTATAAGAACAGAGGTGATCGAAACGTAACGGAACAGTGTTATTGTTGGACTAAACCCTTATTGTATATTAAGGTATGAATCTTTAATAAATGTATAATAAGCTGAACTAAAAATGATTTTTTGTAACTGTAATAACCGATAAATATATTCTTCTCGTTGACTTGCAATGCGTAATTCAGAAATTGCCCGTTGGAAAACGGCATAATCGAGATATTTGATCTTACCCCACTATCCCTTACTTTATCTGAACGGGACTTTTTTTTGTTGACACATTTGTTGTTGTGGTATTGGTAATAGTTCATTTAAGTCGCACTAGAGCTGCACAATGGGCTAATGGCGTCGGTCTGGGAAACATCCCTGAGGATGATCCGAAGACATGCCATCACAATTTTGATCCTCTGCAGAGGGGATGGAACCCCAGTTTCGGTAGCCCAACAACCTGCATGCGAAGTCGAGTACTTTAAGGTAGAACTGTTTAGCGAGGACCCATAATGCACACCCTCGGTCCCTAGGCAGACTGATCCAAGTGGTCACCCACCCGCACACTGACTGCAGTCAGTAATGCTTGACTTCGGTGATCTGCTGGGTACCGTATCTTAACGATCAGTCCACTGCGGAAGTGACATATTAGGATTTTACACTTTCAAAATATATATTTTTGTATATATATATNCTTTGCTAATAAAGTATTTATATTAATTATATATATATATCAGTAATATATATTCAGATTGCAGCTACTCCTCATAGGAGGAGTAGCTGCAATCTGGGAAATAAGGTCCCAACAGTTCAATTAGGAAGTTAGGAAGAGCGGCCGAAAGTTTGAGCTACTAAATATCACCCCACTAAAATAGTGTAACAGTTTACTATTCTTTTTTTTTTACATACCTTGTTAGTTTTACTTAAAAAAATGACATGGTGGTTAGAATAAATTGAAATAGAAGTTACTTGTATTCCTAACAGTTTGAAGTGGAACTCTAATTTATGCAATTATGAGTCTGTCAAGCAGGCTTCGCTTTGTTCTGCAATAAAAACTTCTGTCAGATACTATTTTTAGAATCCTTATCAAAAATGTAGACATAATAGTGTACTCATTGGGGTTCTAAAGTTACCATTTAAGAGAGGGAAAACAAAAACGCAATCGAAATCTGACAGATGGCGATAAAGACGTATAAAAACAAAACATCAAAACCTTGTAGGAGTGATGATTGAAAGCAAAAGATAATGAATTTGATCGTACTTGGATGAAATAGGGTGGGGTTCGTATTTTTCTTGCTGTTTAAATTATTACTTACCCACAATAAGTATATGTTTTGGGCGATATTTTTAAAAATATGGTTTGAAGTTGTATTTGTAAGATTACGGTTTGAAGCTGTATTTTTTTCAATATCAAAGGTGGAGTCATTGTAGCTACTCCAGAAAATGTATGAAAAGGGTAAAATGAAATCTGAGAGACAAACATAAAGAAGTGTTATTCGATTATTATAAAATATCATCTCAGCATGAGAATGCCTGCTTTCATAAAATTTTGGCCTTATATGACGAGACATAATATGTAATAAAAATATATAAACAAAATTTGTAAGAAAAAACTATAAGTAATTGAAAATAATGTGGATAGTTTTTCCTCATTCTGAAAATATTAAATTTGAGTTGTAAACATTAGAAAATCAATTAAATAGAAATTTTGCCATAAATAGCATGAAAATTGCATGAAAAAAATTTGTAAGAAAAATTTTTTTTTAATGCTTTAAGAAACATAAATAGAAACATTAGATCTGTCAAACAAACTTATAATATAAATTATAAAATCTGAATGTATGGAGAAAAAAAATTACTAAAATAAAAACGATTAAAATTCAAATAAAAAAATTAAAATTACAGACAAACAACAATTTTGCTATTTCAAAAATTCCGTCAGGGTAAAGAATAAGATTTATTTTTAAAAATTTTTTAACCTCAATATTTATAAATTTATCGTGAAGAAGATCCGTAGATCTGTAATGTTATTCATTTATATATATATCTATTTTAGCTTTTGAAATAAATAAAATAAAGAATAATAATAAAAAATTAAACTCAAAAAATTTTTATTTTTGAATTTGAAAAGTAATAATTTTCAATCTTCTACTCTTCACACCAACTTCTTCATAGTGTTGCCATCTATGA